ACGTGCACTCAACTTCTTTGGTCGACCATGGCGAGGCCTGTTCTGAGTGGAACCTGTCCTGTTAAACCGCTGTATGGTCTTGGCCACCGTGCTGCAGCTCAGTTTCAGGGTCTTGGCTATCTTCTTATAGCCTAGGCCATCTTTTTGTAGAGCAACAATTCTTTTTTTCAGATCCTCAGAGAGTTCTTTGCCATGAGGTGCCATGTTGAACTTCCAGTGACCATTACGAGAGAGAGAGAGAGCGATAACACCAAATTTAACACACCTGCTCCCCATTCACACCTGAGACCTTGTAACACTAACAAGTCACATGACACCGGGGAGGGGAAATGGCTAATAATGCCCAATTTGGACAGTTTCACTTAGGGGTGTACTTACTTTTGTTGCCAGTGGTTTAGACATTGATGGCTGTGTGTTATTTTGAGGGGACAGCAAATTTACACTGTTATACAAGCTTTATACTCACTACTTTACATTGTAGCAAAGTGTCATTTTTTCAGGGTTATCACATGAAAAGATATAATAAAATATTTACAAAATGTGAGGGGTGTACTCACTTCTGTGATATACTGTATTTCTCGGATCTTCTGGAACAGCTCTCTTGTTTTTCCCTCTTTTGATGTTCTCTTCTTTTTCTTTGTACTGGCCATTTGAATAGTTCTTTTTGTCTCTATAAGGTAATTGCTGAAAATCTGCATTTAAATTCTGACCCTATTTTTCTGTTTGCATTTGCTTCTTGCCTGCCCTTAGCAATTGCGAGTGGTTCTTCTGTCATCCATCTAGTCCAGTGGTGGCGAACCCATGGCATGTGTGACGCAGCAGGCATGCAGAGCCCTCTCTGTTGGCACGCGAGCCAAGTCGCCCCAGCAGCTGAGCATTGGATAACAGTGCACACTGGGATCATGCACATGCTTGGAAAGGAGTAGTGGCACCAGGCGATGATGTAACAAGCCATGACTCATTAGCTGCGACTCATCTGAGCTTTCGCATGGCCAGTCAGTGCGCTGCCAAGGATATGCTTGGACTGGCTGTGCTTTGTTTTTTTTCTAAACTAAAAGCTCAGTATTCAGGTTTTATTGCAGTGTTGGCACTTCGCAATAAATAAGAGGGTTTTGGGTTGCAGTTTGGGCACTCGGTCTCTAAAAGGTTCATCATCACTGATCTAGGCTATTCTTTTCCTTTTGGTACAGGAATTGTCTTTTTACATTTTCCCCTAATAATGTCTCTGGTTTCAATCCACAGGTCTGTCTCATGAGCAGTTGAGACCAGTTATTTCTGTGAACTTTTAAAAGTTATTTAAATTTCATTTTGACAATAGGCTTCTGTTAGTGATATTTTTTAGCTTTACTCATTTTTGATAGATTGTTCATGGTCAGTATGACAATCTACTTCTAGTCTTGTTCTGGCAGTGAGAATACAGCTTCCACTTAGATTGTCTTCTTGATTTCTGTATTGGCCATCTGGCACAGTTGTCTGATAAGTTGCCTGAAGTGTGTATTTGC